AAAAAAAAACAACCAAAAAATCCCCACAAAGGCTGTTCTGCACTTTACAGATTTAAATATTATCAAACGTGCTCAAAACCCGTTTACTCGTATCCAAATTTGGAGGGAAATTGGATAGATAAACGTCCGCAGTTGCCGAAAATATGGTTGTTGTAAAATAAAAATTGCCACAAAGCGAACGTTTATTCATAATGATGCATGTCCTGAATCGATGATCCAACCATAGCTGCGGCGGTAAACAGTTTAAACGGGGAATGAGGTTTGTACTGAACACAAATGACAATGCATATTATCGGTTTTGGGGACTTGAATATAATGGTATTTGTTTCAAGGTTAATCCATCTTTCTGCTCCATTCGCCTTTTCCTTGCTTAAAAAAAGTGAACTCATTTATGAAGAATTTTTAAACAAACAAAGAAACAAAAAAACCTTAGCAAACAAACCAAAGAAAGCTGAAACTTCGAGAAGTATGAATACTTATGATATTATGTTTTTGTATGTGTAGGCGTTTTATACCTGTGTCCTATCGGCACAATATTACAGATCATAGAAAGCCGGCTTCAGCCCTGCCTGTGCGGACCAACCCCGGGACTGAGAGGGATACAACGTCCAAGCAGAAAAACGGCTCGTACTCGATATATCTCCCCCCAAAATGGAAATGGAACTTTGGTCTTCTGTGTGCGACGGGGAAGCGCCTAACTGCTACACCGTAGACTTTGGCGTATACGAAAGTACTTCTACGATTTAAAAGACCATCCTCTTTCTCTCTCTCTCCCTCTCTCTCTCTTCCTTTCTCTCTCTTTGCTTTATACTCTATATCTCTCCCTCCGGCTTATCTTTTTCTCGCTATTTCCCTCACAATTAATGTTATCATTGTTAAAAGACAACTTGTCTAATATCAGCATTTTTGCTGTAGAGCATATTTCTGTAACTATAATTTGAAGAAGAAGAAGAAGAAGAAGAAGAAGAAGAAGAAGAAAAAGAAGAAGAAGAAGAAGAAGAAGAAGAAGAAGAAGAAGAAGAAGAAGAAGAAG